GCTGAACCTGCCTGAAATTTGTTTATCTGTACCTTACTTTCATTTCTGACTTATAGGCAAAATGCAGTCCTTTTAGAGAAAGTCTAAATAGCTTTTAAACCACCTGTCTGCCAGAGAAGCAGAGTTGCTAGCAGTATAGCTTCTGAAATGAGGTGGTGTCAAGAAGGCAATGAAATATCTATATTGTCTACATGTTCTCCCTGAGGCCTCAAGAGCCAGGCTGCAACCTTTCTCTGTCCTTTTTCAAGACTCCCTGTTCATCTCAAACAGAACAATTGTCAAAATCCTTATGAACGTAATATTCAGGCAGAAATGTTAATTCACCAAGAGCTCATGCTTAGGTGAGCAAGTCAAGATACTAGATTCCATAATGATCTTGCCTGATGTCAAAAGTCTGAGACGTAGAATTTAAAAAAGGGTATTGGACACTCCTTTTTCCAGGAGACTTGACCCCAAACCCATGGGCAAACAGCACAGAAGGAATCCTATAAGCAGCAGATACCAGAGGATTTCAGCTAGAAAATGTCAGGGAGGTGGGCAGGGAGGCAGGAGCAGACAGCTGGTAGGTGTGGGTGCTCATCACTTCTAAGTCAGGGCACTTATTTATATGCCTAACATTAGCCACTCACATTTGAAAATGTGGGTTCCCATATGTACAGTCAACATCACGATTTGCATGATGGAAGGTGATGTCTCCCTTGCAGAGGCTGTGGGTTGCAGAGGGGTGTTTTCTGCAGCAGGCTGCTTAGGCTGGTGGGAATGAAGGCGTGTCCTTCTGTTGCAGGGACTTTGGCCAGTTGGCGGTGGAGCTGTTGGACCAGTCGTACAAGCAGGACGAGCAACTGGCAATGAAACTGCTGACCTACGAGCTGAAGAACTGGAGCAACGCCACGTGCCTGCAGCTGGCAGTGGCAGCCAAGCACAGGGACTTCATCGCTCACACTTGCAGCCAGATGCTGCTCACAGACATGTGGATGGGTCGTCTCCGGATGCGCAAAAATTCTGGCCTAAAGGTCAGCACTATTTTAAAATAAAATTAACACTCAGAGGAGTTCTAATACATGGTGACGGGGCTCACAACACATCAGTAATAACTGGCTCGATTAACCATATTTGAAGTGCTTGTCTGTAGTGACATTAGGCAGGGTATATTCTTCCTGTGTTCAGCTTTTCAGCAGGGAGCTTATCACAAACCCAAGTTCAAAGCATGTTACTGAGCTTTTTCATCATCTTTCTCGAATTCTCCTCCGGCATCAGTGAGAGTTATCAGAATAAGAACTGAACCAGGAGGTTAGTATGTCACCCTGCCTGGATACCTGAGGAGTTAGCCAAGGATTTTGAAGATTAATGGAGAAAAAGGATGTGTAAGTGAATTAACCGCTCGTGAAAGGTGCTGATCCGACAACCTTCCCTAGAACAGGCCAAAGCAAGCTGTACAAATTTTCTTGCAATCCCCTGCCAATCTTCCTGATGACTGACCTGAAGGAACTACCTTAGAGGATCTGGAGGATAATTCAATTTTCAAAGCTGTTTAAGCTTTACTTCCACAGTTAGCAAAACTGCTCACAGAGCAAGGTGAAATCTGGGAGGTGAATGTGTCCATGGGCTGGCATCTTTCACCTTCACCAAAGTACTTACCAGTCAGTACATAACCAGGAATTGCCTCTTCCTCCCAGCTGACTGGGAAACATTTTCAGGAAGGGCTTCTCTCTCCTGCATTAATCGTGTGTGTGAAAAGCAATGATGCGTAACTGCTTTGCTGTGTGAAAAGATGTTTGGTAATGGCAAGAATGCTTATGAGTCTGTGCATCATGATCATGCTGGGTCTAACCCAGTGACAGCAATGAATGAGAATAAGTGGCTGACAGCATTCTCATCGTCCTCCTGCAGGACCTGTGCGTAAATATTGTTCTCCTTACAGACAGAAAGCATTCTTGTCACATTTGGAGATGTGTTTACTACCTGTTTTTCTGACTCGACTCACAGACCCATTGCCCTTCAGAGGGACTTCTGCCTTGTTCACTGCTTGGCTTTGCAGATATTCAGCCTGGGTAGACAGGGATCAGTGCAGCAATTCATTTCCCACTGCATGCTTTCTTCTGTGCAGCATGCTCTCTTAAGTCATAAAATGGACCTTTCTTTCACAGTGAATAACCGAAGGTAACAGACTCTGTTTCCTTTCAGCTTCTTGTAACACCAGGGTTTCACAAGGATTCTTTACTCAGTTTCTAATCTGTGTTTTATTTCACTGAAGCTCATTAGCAGGTTCTGTTTAAAGCTAAAGCAGGCTACAAGCTACATGAGCAAGAGGCAGCATGGCAAAGAAATAAATTTGCAAGCATGAGTCATGGATTACTTCCCCTGAACAATTTTCTCCCGTCAAAACTGGCAAATGGCAAGAAGGCTGAATGTAATTCTTTAGAGTCTAACCAGGGATGCGTAGCACCAATGAGAGGGGGAGAGGCAACTATTAATGCTGCCTGTTCTTAAAAATAGCTTCTCTGGGAAGCCAGGTCTGCCCGTAACTCCCTCTCCCTGGACATATCCTTTTGCAACAAGCTGAGTGCAGGAGCAGTGCAGGCAGCCTGGTTCTTCCGAGGCTGGGAATAGCATTCATATACGCTCACTGCTCGTAATTGCAGTACTTTGGATGGTTTCAACAATACACATGCTGTCTGCCGATATGATAAGCGCAAGCAGTCACCTTCCCTGACCTGCCAACAAGCTAACTATATGGTTTCACTGTCATTTAGGGAGTGATTTATAACGAAATCATTTTCCGTGAGATTACAGCAAAAACAGGAAAAGCTATTGTGCTTATGAATACAGACAGGCCACTTTTTTTGTTACTTTTGATATCACTCTGAGAGCGGTGAAGCACTGGAAAAGATTGCCCAGAGAAGCTGTGGGTGCCTCATCCCTGGGAGTGTTCAAGGCCAGGTTGAATGAGGCTTTGAGCAACCTGATCCAGTGGAAGGTGTCCCTGCCCATGCCGGGGGGTTGGAACTAGATGATCTTTAAGGTCCCTTCCAACCCAAACAATTCTATGATTCTATGATATCTCTTCAGTTGTACTGCTGATTTAACCCCAAGCATTGTTCATTGCGTGTATCGCACGAGGTAATTTTAATGGTTTGTGCACTGCCACATCATAAAAGAGGGAATGCAGAAAAGGAGGAGCTAGCACTAACATGAGCATTACACGGCTGCCAGGTTACTGAAGCAAAATCTGAGGAGACTCCATAGCTAAGCACATCAGCATTTGCTATTGCTGACTTTGCCTTATCTCCTCGGATCCACACTTGCTTATGCCTTGACTACCTCTGTGCATTAAGTATGGAAAGAGAGCTTGAGACCTATTAACCCTCCCTGTAGAAATTTATACTGCTTGTCTGTCATTTACACTGATACTGTCTGTTATGTATAATGCAGAAATCTGAAGGTCCAAGGTCTGAACACCCCCATGGTCCCACCTGCTGTTGACCTGATGTCATATTTTGTAAATGTATTCTGGTATGTAACAATACACGTCTGATGAGCAAGCAGATAAAATATTCAAGAGAGGCAATTAGCCATAGCACTCACAGCAATGCTAATAGAAGTTACGTGCTTTGTTTCGGAGCTCTGAAAACATCACCCCAAGTGACAAATACTCTATTGCTGTAGAAACTCTCATGCACGCATATCTTTCTTTTCCTAAATATCCTGAGGGAGTTGTTCCATTTGATACTAAGTAACCATCATGATTGTAATCTGTTTACTGTGATGATTATTGTTATCATTATTATTGCTTTAGGTAATTCTAGGAATTCTACTTCCTCCTTCAATCCTCAGCTTGGAGTTCAAGAACAAAGATGATATGCCTTACATGTCCCAGGCCAACGAGGTCCATCTTCAAGAGAAGGAGCCAGAGGAGCCAGAGAAGCCAGCAAAAGAAAAAGAGGAGGAGGACATGGAACTCACTGTAAGTGCCGACAATACATGGCCAGCCTCAGCGCTGTCATTTTGCTGTTCCCACCTCTGTGGGCATTGCAGACTGTCTGATGGCTAAATTTAGCAGATGATAGGATGCCACTCTTAACACTCCCCTCTCTTTGGTGGGACTCAAACCAGACAAGTTGACATCATTGTGTTTCAATCTTGCAGTAGTGCATGGTGATGCTGAAGCGTCACATTGTGATGTAATATCCTCATATCTTGATTCAATTTGTTGTCTGAAATAAATTAATGAGATTTCAGAATTGAAAGCACTCAGCCATTATAGATGAGTGGGCCTCTCTGGTAGAAAAGATACTAGCTAAGTTTTCCTTTGGATGGAAATGCCCAAAGATTCATGGAAGCTGAAGGGGTTTTTTTTCTTTTGGTTAAGTTCATCAGAGGGCAAGTAAGCGTGCAAACAAGCAAGAAAAATAATGAAAATGTTTTTCAAAATTCTTTATGAATTTGTGGTCATTGCCTCTCAGACATATACACATGCAGTTTTTAATCCGCTGAAGACATTAGCAAGCAGATAGACATCTCAGCCCTTACTAAGAGCTTCTACAGCTCAGCAGAATTATGTAAGGAAGGACTTGTCTGTGTTAGTAACATAGCCTTAGAGGAATCATTTGCACCACAGAGAGAATCAGATAAAGCTCTAAAATTATACAAGTCACCTAATTCCAGCCTCTTGTTCTCAGACTTGTTTGACACTTTTCAATTTGGGCAATTATCATATAAGCTATCAGACCTGCCTTAGCTTATTTTGATGTGCTTTGGTTGGGGTTTGATTTTGGTGTCTTTGAAAGGCTGAAAACTCAACCTCAGTTGGTCAAGGTCAGGATAAAAGCATAGAAGTAAAAGGGATTTTCCTGGTTAACTAAAAAAAAAAAAAAAACCCAGACTGTTTCCCACAGGCAAACAGCAGGAGCTGCCCGCAGGACCCCGTCTGCAGGCAGGCAGAAGGACCTGCCTACAGGACTCAATATGCAGGCAAGCCGAAGGAGCAGCCCACAAGACCCACCTACAGGACCCGTTTGCAGGCAAGAACCTGGCCGTTGGGAAGGACCAGAAGCCAGAATAGCAGCAATGGGCCAGTCTCTGCTCATTAGCTATTAGTAGCAATTTACTATCCCTGGCTTCTGTTTCACTTACGAAGTGCCTATTCAAATCAAATAAGCACTTTGCAAGCTGCCTTTTTCTTGGCAACGGGGAGAAATTTGGGGAGGAAGTAATTTCCATCTCTCTGCAGTTATCCCAGCTCCTGGTTTCTTGTCTACAATACTGTGTTTCCTTTTTACCTTCTGACTCCTGCTACAAGAAAGTATGTGTGAACTGGATCTGCTTTTCCAGAAGAGTCTTAGATGTTCCCTCCCTCTCCCTTCCATGTGCTGGTAGTCCTATTGCTCTTTCCTGTCATTGACTCTGCCCTTAACTCCTTCAAATTCAATGCATCATTCTAGTGAAGTTTCAGACACTGATAGCCTTTTCTATAAAATAAGAACTGTTTCTGTGGAGTCCAGCAAGTTTAGAAACAGTATCTTTGGTACACTGCTGCCGACTTAATATTTCTGCATATAACCTGTACTGTGCTTTAGGACTTCTAACACAGCTTCTTCACGCATATGCCCTTCAGTGGTGGGGTGAATCCTATGACTGGAGTGTCAGAATGGAAGGATACAGCTCTTTAGGAAGGACAGGCAGGGGAGACGAGGAGGTGTCGCCCTTTGTCAAGGACCAGCCGGAGTGCATGGAGCTCCACCTGGGGATGGATGAGGAGCCGAGTGAGAGCTTATGGGTCAGAGTTAAAGGGTGGGCAGGGACAGGTGACAGTGTAGTAGGGGACTGCTACAGGAAGATCGAGTGGATGAGGCCCTCTACAGACAGATAGGAGCAGCCTCACGTTCACGAGCCCTGATCCTCATGGGGGACTTCAGCCACCCCAATACCTGCTGGAGGAACAACACAGCAGGGCAGAAGCAATCCAGGAGGTAAGATGATAACTTACTTCTCCAAGTGGTAGAGGAACCAACGAGGAGAGGTGCTTTGCTGGATCTTGTTCTCACCAACAGGGAGGGACTGGTGGCGAACATGATGCTCAAGGGCAGATTTGGCTGCAGTGATCATGAAATAGTTGAGTTCAAGATTCTTAGGGAAACAAGGAGGGTGCACAGCAAGCTCGCTACCCTGGATTTCAGGAGACCAGACTTCGGCCTCTTCAGGGATCTGCTCAGTAGAGTACAATGGGATGAAGCCCTGGAGGGAAGAGGGGCCCAAGAAAGCTGGATAATATTCAAGGATCACCTCCTCCAAGCTCAGGAGTGGTGCATCCCAACAAAGAGGAAGTCAGGGAGGAACACCAGGAGGCCTGCATGGATAAACAAGGAGCTTCTGGACCAACTCAAACACAAAAGGGTAGTCTACAAAGGGTGGAAGCAAGGACAGATATCCTGGGCTGCATCCAAAAAAGTGTGGCCAGCAGGTCGAGGGAGGTGATTCTGCCCCTCTACTCTGCTGTCTTGAGACTCTACCTGGAATACTGCATTCAGCTCTGGGGACTCCAGCATAAGAACAACATGGAACTGTTGGAACAAGTCCAGAGGAGGGCCACAAAGATAATCTGAGGGCTCAAGCACCTCTCCTATGAAGACAACCTGAGAGAGTCAGGGTTGCTCAGCCTGGAGAAGAGGAGGCTCCGGGGTAATCTTATAGCAGCCTTCCAGTACCTGAAGGGGGCCTACAGGAAAGCTGGAGAGGGACTTTTCATAAGGGTATATGGTGATAAGACAAGGGGCAATGGCTTTAAACTGAAAGAGGGGAGATTTAGATTAGATATAAGGAAGAAATTTTTCACTCAGAGGGTGGTGAGGCACTGGAACAGGTTGCCCAGAGAAGTTGTGGATGGCCCATCCCCGGAAGTGTTCAAGGCCAAGTTGGATGAGGCTTTGAGCAACCTGATCTAGCGGAGGGTGTCCCTGCCCATGGCAGGGGGTTGGAACTAGATGACCTTTGAGATCCCTTCCAACCCTAACCATTCTATGATTCTATGATATATTTCTGTGGTTAGATGCCATAGCTGGTTATATTTAGTCACCTTCAGACACCATGTCAGGGAGAGTGTTCCTACCTGACATGTTTTAAATATAAGAAAATATTTCAGATGATTGACATTCTGGCCTTAGTTAAATGGTCTAGCATAAGTTAGATCTAGTCTCTTCTCCACTGATGAGAGGATGCTTGCAAGACTGTTTGGTAACTGAAGTTTCCTTTAGCCACACTTATATTAAGGATGCTTTATTCATAGTTCATCAAAATTAATAATTGATTGTGATGTGACAAATTTTTAATCAATTGGTGAACTCTGGCTCAATAGATCAGTCGCTCACCCTAACCATAGCTTGTGACTATTGTATTCCGAACGACCTGCATATTTTTCTGCACATTTTTTTCTTTCAGGACAAACAAATAGATTCTTTATTATTATTATTATTAATTCCATTTTCTTTTATTCGTTTACCTAATTGGCACATGATTGTTTAAAATATTTTCAAAATTTTTCCGTGGTCGGGTTTCTGAGCTTTGTTCAGCTTAAAGTTTAAACAAACAACATTGATGAACTAAAAATTATTTTGGTCACCTCAGAAGCTTATTTCTGGCAAATAATGTATCATCCAAACAACCTGCCTAACTCTATTTCTAATCATTCCCAATGAATACTTTTCAAATCTTTTTCTTTCTATAATATTACACTCACATGCATTTTTATAAAAGTACTGCTAAGATAAAGAGATCACATCTAGTCAAGCTCTGTTCATTGATTTCTTACGAAGTCTTGTGTGTCCTGCACTGCTAAGCCCAGGTGACTAATGACAGGCTGAAAGGGTCAGTTTCTTCCTCTGGACTGCACTTGTGCAGAGTGGATGAGGTGCAGGGCCACAGTGATTTGTGTGCTTTTTTACACCTTACTTGCACAGAATAATGTAATCACACAGACAACAGCAACGGTGAAGTAAGTCTCCGCATGGGTGCATCTGTATGTGAGTAAGTATTTGTTTTATGCTTCTCTTAAAGGATCTGGTGGGTAGCTGAACATTTGGATATACTATAAAGATGTTGTGTTTATTCACTGTAAACTGCTTGTTACTCACATCTGTTTTTAACTTTATAACAGATATATGAGAGTGCTGAGCACACATTTCTTTAACACCTAGATGCTAGGCAACAGGCTTTCCTTACAGCAGCTACTCACAAAAATGTGCTTGAATTGAATACTGCTCTCATCACTGCTCCCTCAGCACCAAGGAGTTTATCACAATTTATGCATGGAGCTGCCAGTCATTGATCCTCAATATTAGAGATGGAGGAGTACAAGGGCACTAAAGTCTAAAGGCCAGAGACATTTTGTATTTGTACAATGTCCTGACCAAGGCCTTAATTAGGTGCTGATTTTTAGGTCAGATAGAAACCCCAGCAGTCTACCCTCCTTCCGAAAAAACACTGCTTCTGGAAGCCGTACTAGGAGTACCCTTACCCCTATTCAGTGCCTTATTGTTTGGGTATTAAAGTTCCCCAGTAAATGGTCTTATCTCAGAACACAGAATAACTCATCTAAGTCCTTTAGAAGATATTTCAGTTGTTGTTTTGCTCATTTTGTTCTAATTTTCCATATCAAACAGGAAGTCTGGACTTCCATGAGCATCACTTAGAGCCTGAGTGAGGAGACTTTTCATCAGCAATAAAGCTAGTTGTGTTTGCCTCTGGGCTCATATTATCTCATCTGCAGTATGTATGCTTAGCCTTTTCTTCACAGCAAGAACTAACTGAATATTATATCACTAAAAATACAGTTCTTAAGATAGGAAATGTTGAAGACTAGTGTCCTCGTGACCATGGCCAACCTTACCCACCCAACTGGGGGATGGTGCTCACAGCATCTCACATGTCAGAAGCAAAGCACCCCTTCAGCTCGTCTGGAAAATGGCAGTG